TTTTAAGCGAACAGCATGGATCCTGATCAGACTGCGCGGATGCGTAGGCTGGTCTGGATCCATGCTGGTCGCAAACCCATTATGTTGGTTTTGTCATGGTGCGGCTCAATTATTTATTTCTTTTTGATATAACTAAAACATTGTTTATCATGTGAAACTTAAACTGCTAACAATAACTTTACAAAGAATACAATAAATTAAAAAAAATCAGTTTGATATTCCTATCTTGATTTCATTGTTCTCAGTTCAGAATGTAGATTTATGTGACTGTGTAAAGTGTTGTGTTACGACCGACCATATTCCCGTTTGAAGGGGCGTCCGTGGTTGGTTTAAATCAAGACAGGGACTGCGGATTCTTTCATGTAAGGAAGCTGTCCAGCTAGCTTATGGAATATCGGCGGTTCTACTCATGTGCCCGATTGTTAAAGAAACAATGCATGGAAGGGCCGACCATATTCCCGTTTAAGAAGAAAGATATATTTGAAGTATGAGAGTGGAGGACCGTCAAATGTCACTATGAACGTGGTCGCAATGTCGTCATTATTATAAATTAGCCTTTTTGATATATAGAGGATATTGAATGAGTGTATAGGTTCAATACTTTATTTATTGAACGAGTTGAATAAAATCATATTATGCCGGCCTCTGGCGAGCATAATATTGTTTTAATCCGCGAGTTCAATAAAATTAGTATTGAATCTACACGAATATAGTATTCTATTTATCACATATTTAAAATAAGAACGGTAAACTGTTAAAAAGTGTAATTTTTCAAGGACAAAAAATATCGTTTAATCATTTATATTGGACACTTATTGTACTACAGTTGATAATTCAGTATAATATATAAAATGAGTTAAATTATTATCTTAGGGGTATCTTATTTACAGCTCATCATAAAACATGCATTTCTGGATATTTATTTATAAAACAAAATATACAGATGCTATGCCATTCCATATGGAATTATAAGAGATGTTCATGAGAAATTACATTAAAATCGAACAGTTAATTTAAACTAAACATGGTATTAAAATACTGTACATGAAAGACATAAAATAATGATTTCTAGTAAAACGAGTATCAAAATATTTTTTAAAAGCAAAAATAACACCATCGGATCACGTGCGTTTAAGAAATTTCTGACATAATATTAAAAAGAATGTCACTTCATACGTACATATTTCTGATATTGTTTAGTGTTTACTCAATGTGCAATGTGAGTTTAATGGGATAGTAGTGAAGTGTGATCTTTATTTATTTACTCCATATTGAACTGATCCATAAATTAGTTCAACACAGCTCCACGGGTACTGCAGCAAATATTTTATTGCTAATCATGCAAAATGTTTTTTATTTAGGAAACCTTTTTTGTGTCTAGACGTGATCAGTTTCGATTACAATTTATAAGACACGACCATTACTTGAAATATCGCCAGTAAAATTCCTTTGAGAGCTTTTTACTTTGCAAACATTATTATATCCGGTACGGCTTTGCATTTTTTTCTTCAGTAATGAATGTTCGTTTTCAAGCGATTTCCCTTCTTAGGTAGATTTTCTCTGATACCATCATAACATTTTTGTATTTCTGTGTTAAATAGTATAAAGCGATATATCTGAGGTCCTTGGTTTGCAAAAATATTGTTAATATCACGATTGAAATAGCTACAGAATACATTACATAAATGAATTTGTCTGTATATATAGGAAAAATAAGTAGAACATGCGTCAATAATCGCTAAACCAACTAGTATAAGAAGGAAAATATTTTGTTCCGGAATGCTTAATTTCTGAAACTCCACTGAGGTTTTTTGACGTTCTGGGGCCAGAATTACTTTTCGAGAATAAATGTTTCATTTGATATAGGTCTAGACTAATGATAACTATAATTAATGACTTGTGTGCAACCTTTATATGATCATTCACTCTTTCAGTATTCTAGAAGTGAGAAAACTGACCCAATATTGAAAAGCGCTGCAAAGGCGAAAATAAACGAACCAATTGTCCTTCTGGACATTTTTCTCAACATTTCAGATATATGTCACTTTCATATCAGAAGATATTGAACGTATACATATTTCTACCGGAGGTTTTCAGTTAGATGCACCTGCGATTGGACAGGAAAACGGCTTCAAAATGTGGAAAAGAAAGGTCCGTTCTCAGCTCAGATCTGCATCATTATCGTGCAATTTACAAATTTGTTTAAGATATTTTAATAATTACATATTCTGTGCCAGAAATAATGAGTTGGACTGAGCTGAAATAGGACGACGGGACGATTTACAAAAGATGGACGACACATTCAATTTTCATCAGATCTGCTAGTAGGTAAATCTATTTTCCTTAATATTAAAGGGAGGTAATAAAATTAATAAAAGTATATTGTGTATTCTTTACGAATGAATTTTATATTTATATATTTTGTATTTAATGCATTTACTATGCTGTTTTAGTGTTTAAATTAGTTTTTAATCAATTATACAGCATTTAAAATCCTGTTTTATATTCATAAAAGTCTTATATATAATGTACAAATTTTCTATGGACAGTAACATTTGTGTAAAGTTTCATTTAAGTCTATGTGGATGAGTAACTTTCATCCCGTACATAGAATTTATGGTGGCCTAGTGAATTTCATGGGCCTAAAATCTAGTATGATATCCGTCTTGTATATAGACACTATAGAGGTCAATATTATACCATATTCTTCAAATTCTACTGTTATTATGACAATAAAAGTAAAGGGTAAAATACAACAATAAGATAGAGTTTCTTTCACTCGTATGGTGCACTCTCAATAATATGGCCATTAATCCAGAAAAGACAACGTGCACGATAATTGGATCAAAATGTAAAATAAATAACATAGGCAATCGTTCTCTGCATATTGATAATTCGAGTATAAATAATGTTCATTGTCAAAAGCTACTTGGATTGCATATTGATAACTGTCTATCTTGGACTAAACGTGTTCTAAGCTTGCTTCTAAACTATCTCTGCTGAAAATAAATCAAATATTTCTTACACCTGAAATGAAACAAATATTTTATAACGCTTACATTGCCCCTAGTTTTGATTATGGATGTATTATTTGGTCTAAACGTAACAAATCATATCTAAATAGAATAACAAAATTACAAAAAAGAACCGCCAGAATTATTTTAAATAAACCCGTAAAAACAAATTCTCTTGAAATGTTTCAAAATATGAAATGGTTATCTTTTCTATCTAGATGTAAATACTTTTCTGGAATTATGGCGATGAATAAATTAACGCCAGCATATATTTCTAATCTAATCAAAATAAAACTTACTTACTAAGATCAACACATAAAAAAGACATTATGCATAAACGACCTAAAACAAATTATTTCAAACGTACTTTTTGTTATTCTAGTTTGGAGTTATGGAACACTATTTCTTAAAAAAATATTTTTTTTTCAAGTCTTAAATTGTTAAAATAACATTTCAAACATTTCTTATTATCTAAAGATGAATTACAGAAAATTTACCTATACTATAATATAATATTATGTCTGTCTTCTTTGTTAATTAAGATTTACTGAATGTCCATTGTTATGTTTATGTTTTATAGAAGGTCATGTTGAAAATAAGATTTTGCATTATATGTGTTGTATCTAATGATTTGATGTATTGTCTTAATAAGTTACCTTCGTTAAATAAAGAGTTTATTAATATTATTATTATTATTATTATTATATTACGTTAGTTAGTTATAAATAAAGTGATAGAAATAAAGAACACCAAAACACAAGGTTATCTGATCTGTATGTCACAGGGTGAGAAAAATGTGCAGCCTGACCGGGACTCGAACCCGGGACCCTCGGAACACCGTTCCGCGGCTCTACCGACTGAGCTATCCGGCCGCTTACACATCTTCTCCCCGAAATAGTGAACAGTTCTGAACCGTGACATACTAACTTCACCACAATATTGAAATTCGTCCTCGAATTTCACAAAGCTACAGAGCAATGCTAATTGAACTCTGAGCTATAAGCAGTCACGGTCCCCCGTTGGGCGCCAAATGTCACAGGGTGAGAAAAATGTGCAGCCTGACCGGGACTCGAACCCGGGACCCTCGGAATACCGTACCGCGGCTCTACCGACTGAGCTATCCGGCCGCTTACACATCTTCTCCCCTAAATAGTGAACAGTTCTGAACCGTGACATACTCCCCCGCTATATTGAAATTCGTCCTCGAATTTCTAATGGGTAAAGAGAACAATGTGAAATTGAACTCGGAGCTTATACCATCACGGTCCCCCGTTGGGCGCCAAATGTCACAGGGTGAGAAAAATGTGCAGCCTGACCGGGACTCGAACCCGGGACCCTCGGAATACCGTACCGCGGCTCTACCGACTGAGCTATCTGGCCGCTTACACATCTTCTCCCCTTAATAGTGAACAGTTCTGAACCGTGACATGTACAAAGGTATAGCCCCTAAGCATAAATCAGATTGCCAAGTGTTTTGATGTTCCATCTATGTTGTATCACAGTAAAAAAACATGTTCCCTGTCGTCACAATATGAAACCCTAGAAAAAAAGTAACCAATGTCACTGAGCATCTGAATATGACTTTTCTATCGTTATCTCTTTCCCTGTCTGAACAATAAATTAACCCTAGAAAAAATGAGTCAATCATCGAGCATGCTCTATCTTTCTCCCCTAATAAACCATGCAGTAACTGGAGTGCTGGTAACAAATACAGAATGAAGATTATGAAAGGGTAAAACAAAATTAATACAATAGAAATTACCCCTTTCTCTTCTTTTAGAATAGTCCATTCCATCCTTACAAGTTACCTTATTTATTGCTTTTAAATTTTACTTTCTACACTTATAAAAGTTTCGTACCAGGACGCTTCCGTAATTGGGTGATAATATTAATATTGGGAAAAAAAACACGCTAGAATGTACTGTATGTGTATCCGTGTTATTAAAGAACGGGATAATTTAGGGGCGTTATGCCTAAAACCGCACCGTAGAAAACAGGTTTTATACTATGTTGAACATCCGGTTTATTTCGCGGGACATGGTTTGTTATTTTCTAAAAATTTTGTGTTTTTAATTGCTTGAGAGAATTGATGAACTGTTGTAACTGACTTTGGTAATAAAGACGCCCTTAACGCAAGTCACAAAATTTAGGCACAAATAATCATTTTTTTATCGAAATTTGTTTGGCAGACCGGCCGGTTGCAAACCATGAAAACCAGTTGAACAAAGTGTCCATATCCCTGTTACATGAAATAAAAGTTTATACATCTCTTTCCGTTTACGGACAATGTAGTAGGTCACTTTGATTTAAACTGATCATGAAATCCTTTCTACGGCGATTCGAATTGTGCCGCTGATCTTGCAGCTAGGTCACCACTGTTTATTCTAGGATAATTTCGAAAAACGGGGGATTTTTATCGAAAAGTGAGAATTTATTACATTTGTTGATCTTTTTCCTTCTTTGTCCTTGTAAAATTTCTCTCAAAAAATAGGGGTGAATTCTCAAAAATATGGGTGAATCCCCCCATCGCCCCTCCTAGAATAGACACTGTTCTGGCTTCCAAGACTTCCAAGACATAAGCAGCTTCTTTTAACATTTTTGTTTTTCATCTGATGCGGCATTAAAGTTTTTGATTAGATCCATTGTGAAACCTATTCAGAATAACTACATTCAGTGATTTTCCCCCTGCATTTTATAGCCGAATAAAGGCTGTTTCCCCTAGCTCAAAATAGGTATATAATTTTTCCCTTAAAAAAGCTAATATTTTCCCCTGAAATGACCTGTACACTTCTTCACCAGAACCATGACTAAACCGCATCTGACTTATTATATCAGCTAGAAGACAGAAACTGTCCCTATAGCAGACTTCCCGAAAGTTGAAAAAAACTGTCAGACATTTGGTCTGACAAACCATGAAAATATGTCGGACCGAAACGAAATCTGTCGGACCAAATAAAATTGATCAAAATCAAAGAATAACTTGTGTTTGTATTTCTAAGACACATTTTGTTTTTAATTTTTTCGCCGTAAAAATCGGCACATTCCTTACAGCGCATTTTCATCTCCTCCCTATCATACACCAACGATTCACTGTCTTGCTTCTATTTTTCATTAAATTTTGTCTCAGATCTATTCTTTTTATCCTTTTACTGCTGTTCTGCCTGTTCCTCTGACGTAGATTTTTAATTTTTCCAAGGTTTGTCACCTTTAGCGACGCCATTTTGTATACATGCGGCTTGGATAAAAGCCGGACAGTCGGACCGATCCGGAGTAAAAACTCGTCGGACCTGATCAAAATTTATCGGACATGTCCGTCGGACCGACGTATTTCGGGAAGTCTGCTATAGACTCTGCTATGAACCATGCATGTTAAATTGAATTGAAATTGACAACTATAAAATGTGTACAGTGTAAATTCCATTCTCAGTAGTTGGAATTTGATTTCCCCTTTCCTGATTTATCTTGCTATATTTTCCCCTTCAGAAAGCCACAGGTTGTTTTGAAATTTGGAAAAAAAATCACTGACATTGACTTAACCTTATTTTTCATTTGCAAATACTCCTGTCCCAATTCACGAATTCGAAAACTTAGCTAAAAGCAATTTTCCAGTACTTTCTGTACATAGCTCTGGGGAATTCACCTAATGGAGTGTAATAACAAACTCTATATGTTTTGGACTTTTTTTTTGAAAAGCTACCCTCGCCCTTCAATCCCACGTTTCAGGTTAGTATAACTAATGCAGTAGAGGTGTATTGAAAATTGTCTAGTACTTAGTGTTTTTATGAAATTTATCATAATTGTAGGTGTTGTAGAGACAAGGGAGTGGGTGGGAGTGTTCATTAGATGACTGTCTGTGATTTACCCCTGTAACATAACCCACAGACTGAGTCGAGTAATTTTGCTGGCAGACCAAAATTCTATGCTTGCAGCTTGGCCCTTGGCTAGGTCACCAGTCCTGCTTGTAGTTTATATAGACTTAATGAATATAACGTCGATTCATTGTTGTGTAAGACGAAGTACAAAGCCTAGATCTTATATAGTCAGCACACCTTACCAACTTTCCTTGATAATTTACAGTAATTATGAATAAATATTTTTCCAAAAATGGCTGACTACATGATATGTGCATGTCTTTATTTCTTCACCTCTGAAACTTCTGTCAGTGCCTAGAGCATAGGTATTTGGCATGTACATGAAGGATCACCTTGCCATGCCTTGAGTCTCTTGGTTTAACTTTAATATATAGACTTGTATAGGAAAAATATTTTAAAAATTGGAGGTCTATTCTACATAAGGGAACCTTAGAAATATTTCTTTTCCACTTAGAACGACAACCCAATGATTAGTAATTTGATAAATGGTGTGGTACCATATGTGGCGTTGACTAGTTGACTTGTAGTTTGCTTAGTGTCCAAAGTGAGCAGCTTAGGGCCAGTATTTAATTTACTTGAAAAATAATTTAAAATGTTTATTTACAACAACAATACTTTTCTAACCTATTAAGATACACGTCCATACTCCACCAACTTAACAGTTATTCCCACAGGAGCCAACCCACTTTTAAAAATTGATAGGTGTTGGAATGGTGTTTTAACGCCCATTAGTATTCAAAATACTAGAATAGACACTAAATTTTAACAATTATATTTTTCTCTACAGAGATGATATAAAAATTTGGAGACATGAAGCCAAATGAGAAAGTGGAAATTTTCCCAGGTAATGTGAAGTATGGAGGTAGCTCAGGATGTATTGGCTCTATGAAGTGGAAAAGTGGTGCTATTGTGATTGATAAAGATGACAAGATAGGCTGGTCTATCAAAATGAAGTTAGACTGTTCAGAATCATCCATCTTAAACTATCCAGTAAGTTTGAAGTAGACTTCAGTCAACACTTGTTGACAAAAGATATATGGTATAGACTATACACTTATTGCTAAATATTTTGAATGGCCATGTTCAATTTAGATATGAAATTTTACCTATCCGCATGTATCAGACTTCCCGAAAGTTGAAAAAAACTGTCAGACATTCGGTCTGACAAACCATGAAAATCTGTCGGACGGAAACAAAATCTGTCGGACCAAATAAAATTGATCAAAGAAAAACTTGTGTTTGTATTTCTAAGACACTTTTTGTTTTTAGCTCACCTGTCACAAAGTGACAGGGTGAGCTTTTGTGATCGCTTTTCGTCCGGCGTCCGTCCGGCGTCCGTAAACTTTTACTTTAAATGACATCTCCTCATAAACCACAAGGCCAATTTCATCCAAACTTCACAGGAATGTTCCTTTGGTGGTCACCTTTAAAAATTGTTCAAAGAATTTAATTCCATGCAGAACTCTGGTTGCCATGGCAACCGAAAGAAAAAACTTTAAATATCTTCTTTTAAAAATCCTAAGAGCTAGAGCTTAGATATTTGGCATGAAACATTTTCTAGTGAGTGTCTACCAAGTTTGTTCAATTAAAAGCCCTGGGGTCAAAATTGGCCCCGCCCCAGGGGGTCATTGATTTTCCCTATATGCATATAGTAAAAACTTAAAAAATCTTCTTTTAAAGAACTCAAAGAGCTAGAGCTAAGATATTTAGCATCAAACATGTTCTAATAGGTGTCTACCAAGTTTGTTCAAATAAAAGCCCTGGGGTCAAAATTGGCCCGGCCCCAGGGGTCATTGATTTTCCTTATATGTGTATAGCAAAAACTTAAAAAACTTCTTTGAAAAAACCAAAATAGCTAGAGTTTAGATATTAAGCATGAAACATCTTCTAGTAAGTGTCTACAAAGTTTGTTCAAATAAAAGCCCTGGGGTCAAAACTGGCCCCTCCCCAGGTGTGTCATTGTTTTTAACTATATGTGTATAGTAAAACTTAAAAAAATCTTCTTTTAAAAAGCCCAATGAGCTAGAGCTTAGATATTTAGCATGAAACATCTTCTTATAGGTGTCTACTAAGTTTATCAAATAAAAGCCCTGGGGTCAAAATTGTCCCTGCCCCAGGGGGTCATTGATTTTCCCTATATGCATATAGTAAAAACTTAAAAAATCTTCTTTAAAAGAACTCAAAGAGCTAGAGCTAAGATATTTAGCATCAAACATGTTCTAATAGGTGTCTACCAAGTTTGTTCAAATAAAAGCCCTGGGGTCAAAATTGGCCCCGCTCCGGGGGTCATTGATTTTCCTTATATGTGTATAGCAAAAACTTGAAAAATCTTCTTTGAAAAAACCCAAATAGCTAGAGTTTAGTTATTAAGCATGAAACATCTTCTAGTGAGTGTCTTCAAAGTTTGTTCAAATAAAAGCCCTGGGGTCAAAATTGGCCCCGCCCCTGGGGTCATTGATTTTCCTTATATGTGTATAGCAAAAACTTAAAATCTTCTTTGAAAAAAACCCAAACAGCTAGAGTTTAGATATTAAGCATGAAACATCTTCTAGTTAGTGTCTACAAAGTTTGTTCAAATAAAAGCCCTGGGTCAAAAACTGGCCCCGCCCCATGGGTGTCATTGTTTTTAACTATATGTGTATAGTAAAAACTTTAAAAAATCATTTTTTAAAAAGCCTGATGAGCTAGAGCTTAGATGTTTAGCATGAAACATCTTCTTATGGGTGTGTGTGTGTGTGGGGGGGGGGGGCTTTATACAGGTGAGCGACCTCAGGGCCATCATGGCCCTCTTGTTTATTTTTTCGCCGTAAAAATCGGCACAATCCGTACAGCGCATTACATCTACTCCCTGTCATACACCAATGATTCATGGTTCTGCTTCCATTTTTCATTAATTTTCGTCTCGGGTCTGTTCTTTTCATCCTTTTATTGCTGTTCTGCGCACTCTTCTGACGTAGATTTTCGGTTTTTCCCAGGTTTGGCACCTTTAGCGACGCCATTTTGTATACATGCGGCTTGGATAAAAGCCGGACAGTCGGACCGATCCGGAATAAAAAATTGTCGGACCTGATAAAAATTTATCGGACATGTCCGTCGGACCGACGTATTTCGGGAAGTCTGATGTATTTTTACGGAGAACTCGCTGCAAGGCAATATTTATCGCATTACTAGGGGGCCAATAAGGTCCAATTACCAATCTATAGTAATACCTGTTTTACTGATCCCAAAGGCTGCAACACATAGATCTACAATCATGTAGTATTTTTACTTTTTAGAAAATCTGATCTGTTTCAACTTGTGTCTAGAATGTAGTGACAGGTTATATGATCATAATTATGAATAAAACTTTAAAAGTAATGCTTTAAAGTAGTTTTTCGAACTTCAAAAAATTCTCAAAACTTCTTAAATTTTCCCGATTTAAGCCAGGGGTCTAAACAAAATAGCTGAACTGCCCTGCCAGGATGAGTAGAAAAATGAACTTTGATAGATTCAGGGAAAAATAAAGCAAAATGGAAGGCTACTAGAATGATCATAGTCACAGTCATTGACGGTGAAAAAAATGGAAAAAGAGCCTCAAATTGGCCCAAAGAAATTTAATTGCAGTGCACTATTTTTTTTTTTATCCTTGACATAATTCTTATCTGAATAATCATTTAAACAGCTGAATGTGGACACATTGAAGAAGTATGTTTGTAAGGATACAATATTGATAGACGTGACGAGAAATAAACACGACAAAGACCTGATCTCCTTCTACCTGAAGACGCCTGATAAACGTGTAGCTAAACAGATAGAGGCATTGTGTAAAGAAGTCATGACAAAAAAGCATAGTAAGTCACATTGTGTAAAGCTGATGTTGGTAGAAATGATATTGATGTATCATTGATATTGTTCTGCCGATAGAATTTGAACTTTGTTGTGTCGCCTTGAAAAAAGCGACATACAGGGGTTACATTTGTCTGTTTTGATAGAAACAAGACTGATGTATCAATATTTTTTTTTTTCATGTCCCCGAAGGGAGGCATAATATAATCGCACCGTCTGTCCGTCCGTCAGTTTGTGCGTCCCCACTTAATTTGTGTCCGAACTGTAACTTTGTCATACATTGAGGGATTTTGAAATAACTTGGCACAAATGTCTACCACATCAAGACAATGTGTCTTTGCTTAGGTTCATGTCGGTGTGTCCCCACTGATACAACAATCATGTTCAGACTGTAACTTTGTCATACATTGAGGGATTTTGAAATAATTTGGTACAAATGTCTATCTCATAACAACATTTTGTCGCATCCAGGAACCATGTCCCTTCTTCAAAGGTCAAGGTCACACTTATATTTTGAAGGTTCATGCTATCAGAATTAGAGATTACAGGTACAATAACACAAAGAACAATATTCAGCAATTAGTTACTTTCATTCTCTTTTCTTTTCATAATACCTGCATGCTTAAGAAACCTTTTCGTGGGCATTCGTCACTTGGGTGACAGCTCTTGTTGCCAATTGATTTTGAAAAAAAGAATTGATTATTTTGTCTAATTAATAATATGTATTGATATGTGAAATATCATTCGAAATATAAACTGGAATACATCTTCTGTTAAAACAACATCTCTAAACTGTACCGTTGTTACTTAATGGAATAATTTACTAAAGAGGTATTTAAAGTGATGACAAAACATTGTGTTAAAAAAACAACATGTAGATGTCATTTATTAAACAAATCCACACCTTTTTTCATGCACAGATACGAGAAAATATATAAAATGCCTCCTGTTGATGCTTAATTAACAATGCAATGTAAAAAAAATGTGGAAAACTTTCCTGAAACTGTAGTAAATGGCTCAATTCGGTTAGTGTCACTAGCACAAGTTACATTCATGGCTTTCTGTTTAAGATCACTGTAGAAGATTGTCTGATCAGGATCCATGCTGTTCGCTATAAGTTTCTGTACTTGTAATAGGGTTGGTAAGCGAACAGCATGGATCCTGATCAGACTGCGCGATGCGCAGGCTGGTCTGGATCCATTATGGTCGCAAACCCATTATGTTGGTTTTGTCATGACGCGGCTCATATATTTTTCAGCGCAAGTTAACAATTCTGAGGTTTGTGTGAATACAACACCAGCAAAGGCAGGACTTTTTACACACATCGGCAATTCACCATCGGCAATGAAGATTGAAAAAGAAAATTACTCACAAAATTTTACAAGGTAACGTAACAAAGTGTATATCGTTTTATGCCCTGGCATAGATTGATCGGATAGTTTGTTGATATTGTTTATAGATTTTTTGTTAGAAATAATGCATGCGTTAAGGTTAAGTTTTTGCATGCACATTAGTATTTCCAAAACTACTGAAGGGAATGGGTTTCAACTTAATGCATTTGTTCTTATCTTGCTTGATATGCAAATGTCCCATAACTGAAGTTACCTTTTTTCACAGTTATGCTCTTTTTCTTACTGTTGGGGCACGGAGAATAGTTGAATGTGCTGCTTTACCGACAGTTTTGTTTTCCTTAAAAGTAACCCGTAAAATATCATTTTTGCATAGAAAAACAATTAGTTTTGAATTATTGTCACCAATGTGTCTTCATTATAGTTATCACATAGTACCTCACTTATAGTGTACCATTTCTAACTTTAAAGGTTTATGCCATATTTAAAAAAGATTACCTCTATTATTAGCATGAAGTCACATAAAAAAGACTCGATGGATATAGAAGGGAAAGAAAATCTAATAAAGTGAGTAAACAACAGATATGTTTGTAAGAAAAACTGATAGTTTTTCAGTTGCTATGAATTGTTCAGTAATGTAAGATTAAAGGTTGTCACCTTAGTGAAATAACGTAATAAGTGCTTATAAATTTATTAGCAGTTAATTAGTTATTGCACAGAGGTGACGAGTCGGGTGTTCCTTTAGTTGCATATTAATTATTTTCTGATGATGAGATTAGCTAATTCATCGGACATGATCAAAAGTGGAAGTTGTTCCTTTAAAGATAGAAGGGAAATGCTGTCAATAAATGTCATTAACAGTGCATTAGAATTAAAAATAATACTAATATAAATGATGGTACATATTATGAAAAGTTTAAAAAAAAAATAAATAATGCATTTTGTTTGTTCTCAAGTATGAATAAATTATAATTCAAGTAAAAACGTATCTTATAACTGTATTCTCATTATAGATCGTGTTCAAAATCAAGTGATCAGTTTCTACAGAGAAGTTCGGACAAGAGCCGTCAATGCCTGGGACCACTATCTTCATCATTCTATGGGAAATCTGCGGCACAGCCACAGTTATGTAGCACACCTAAATGGCTCAACAGGTAATTAGTTTATGTTCAACTAGGGTTTAATATAAATATTTAAGGAACGTCGGTGGTTCTACTCAGGTGCTGGCTCGTGCCTGAAATAATGTACAGAGGTGCACCCGAGGTCTTCCTCCACCAGTAAAAGCGGAAAGTCACCATATGACCTTTACTGTGTTGTTGCAATGTAAAACCCGTTTGAAATAAATATATATATTTATATATATTTATTGGCTATGGTAAGAGTGTTTGCCTCTGCTTTTGCATTCTGTTAAAATATGTTGATGTGTGGTAGTTAGAAAACTTATTATTAGATTGGTGTATGTCGGCAGATGGGTGGCAAGATGATCTGGCATTAACATTATCTTCTGTGCACAAGTCTATATTTCAAAATGGATTTGAACTGAAGTGCAAGTATTGTCGCCAAAAGATATTGTGATGCACGTTATGTGGTTTTGTGACTTTATAATTTCTTTAGCACAATTATGCCGTCCAGTTTTTTTTCTTTCACGCATTTTATTATAGCAAAAAAAAAAAATGGTTTTGTAACAAAGTCCTGTCTCTTGTTTAGTGTTGTTCAATTGATTTTGATGACGAAGTTGTATTTTCATTTATCTATTAAAAACCACTGTATGATTATGATTTTGTTAGCAAACGAGGGGCCAGGTCTCCTCTGCCAGACCCAACTCCTATTAAAGAGTGGCCAGACTTTTGGACAGTAGTATATCATACAGTATGAAAATGAAGCCCACACAACCCACCGATACCAACCAGCAACAGGCTTTACAAGCGGTAGGTATAAAAAACAAATGAGCCCGCGCCACGACAAAACCAACATAGTGGGTTTTGACCAGCATGTATCCAGACCAGGACCTGTGTTTACACGCAGTCTGATCAGGATCCAGACTGTTTCGCTATCAGTTTCTCTTCTTGTTATAGAGTTTGTAAGTGAACAGCATGGATCCTGATCAGGACTGACGGATTGCACAGGCTGGTCTGGATCCATGCTGGTCGCAAACTCATTATGTTGGCTTTGGTCGTAGGACACGGCTCATTTCTTTCTGGTATATATGGTTATACAAAGATGCAAAATGTATGAAGGTGTCACTGATAAATATAGTTTCATACAAAGTCTAAAGGTTTGTTTAAATGCATGGATAACTTATCTTGTGATTATGGTATTAATCATTGTAATACAAAAGATGCAAATGCATCAGGAAGAAAAGATCCCATTGGGATTTGAACGTGCAACCTCCCAACGTCATGCTTACCAACTAAAGTAACAACAATTTAGACTACTGAGCCAAGTAATCTATGACCCACGCTTATCAGAGGATGGACTTTTAATTTATAAAAGCTATTGCGGGACTTAACCTTTACAGTGGTAACAAAAGTTAAATTCAACTGCCTTTGAACTTTATTGTCATATAAATGGATACAGAACATGTTTAGTTAAATCATTTTTGTGTTGAATTTTAACACTTTCCCTGCTGTATTAGTGTTATGGATTTACACAGCTTTGAACAAATGTATTTAAAAATTTTAAGGGTTATCCAATATTAAAATACAAAAATTGAGCTACCAATATTATAGAGCCTGGTTCAGACCGCATGGATTTAACACTGGTGCTAAATGGATGATCACTTGTTGCTCGTTTGATTGGAAAAATGGAAGAGCTAACAAATATTAGAAGAGCTCATCCAGCTGTTTCGATTGATCAATTCTATTTTCAAAAAAGCTCTTCTTTCTATTCCACTCAATAAAGGTTAAAGTCAAATGATCAAACAGCATGCTGACAAAGAAATAAAACAAATTTTAATATTGCGATTGTTTTCATTTTTACTTTCTTCGAAATGATAATATTAATTATTTATTTTCAGGTTCTCCAACTATTAGGTAATAATGTTACATGAATGCCATCCTCCAGTCGTTGTTTTGTCTCGGAAGACATTCTCAACGGATCTAATGTCCAGCAAAAAAGTTTGTGAAAACACTTCAGCAACATTCACTATATTAGTGAGTATTTTTATCAAGTTTCAATTTTTAATTTATTGACGATCAGCAGTACATTTGTATTTGGTGGCTATTTACAAACACCACATACACATAAAAAATGATAGCAAAGACTGTCATACACGGTAAATAACAAGACAAATAATAAAAACAAGACAGGTAATCTTTAAATTGTAGATAAACTTTCAAGGGTATTTTGATGAAAACATTTATCATGGAAGTTCAAGATCAATATACCTCTGTTCTTAGATTTGATCTTGTTTTAACATGTCAGTAAATTGAACTTTGATGTATAAATATATCTATATCTTGTCCGTTTACTGCCACTTGCTCTTGGGAATGTTGCGGACAGACTCAAGTGCATGTCAAAATTTTTACAATGATCGTAATAAATGATTATAATAGGAACTATTATCATAATAAATGAGCCACGCCATGACAAAACCAACATAATGCGTTTACGACCAGCATGGATCAAGATCAGCCTGCGCATCTGCGCAGTCTGATCAGGATCCATGCTGTTCGCTATCAGTTTCTCTAGACTACTTGTTACAGGGTTTGTAAGCGAACAGCATGGATCCTGATGAGACTGCGCGAATGCGCAGGCTGGTCTTGATCCATGCTAGTCACAAACGCATTATGTTGGTTTTGTCATGGCATGGCTCATATAAATCTTATGTTATTCTAAAAAAAAATATATCCTGAACTTTCATCTAGGCTTTCTGAGTGAATGTTTATCATGTTAGAAATTTCATTTTGATTATAATTATATACATGTATTTTTGGTTATTCATATTTTTTCAGTGCTCTAGTCAAATTATTATTAGTGAAAAGACAGTTGAATGCCAGTGATATTTCTCGTAGAGAGGCATTAAGACGTGTGAAAAGTGCAATATCAACCACAGCAAAAAGGTTCTCAGGCTATGGACAGCATGTGAGTTACTTCCCTTTGTATCAATTAAAAACTGTTACTGCCCCTTGTATCATTAAAAAACAGGTGTACTTTGTATACATTCAATGCATCTCGTCCATAATTACCCTTTCATTACTACCGTTATATATACCTATATTTAAATGTTCTTTTTACTTGTAAATAGGATGCCCATGAGTTTCTGGGGCAGGTGCTTGATCAGCTTAAAGAGGAGGTGATAAAAGCATCTAGTGGGAACGCCCCACAACCAAATAAGGAGAATGAAGGCGGAGCTGAGAATAAGGCAGAGGCTGTCCAACCTTTCAATGGCAATAATCCAATCACTGTCAACTTTGAATTTGAAGTCCTGCATACATTAACCTGTTTACAGTAAGCAGCAAAACTCTTATCAACATTTTCGTTTGTCAGGAGATATTTTATAACATACATGCCATAACGTCCTGGATGTCCGGGAAAATCCCGGAAATAAGGTGTTTGTCCCGGAGGTGTCCCGGAGATGATTTATGTCAATTATGGCATGTTTGTTTATAATAATATCCAAATAATAAGCTTTCTATTGTTTATATTAATAGGAAAATGTGCTCATTGCATGAGTACAAGTTTTTGGACATTGGATTTTTGTACTTGAAAGCTCTCTATATCTATATAAATCCAATTGAAATAATACTAAATTTATTTTTTTTCAGATTTTCTGATATTTTTAAACTGCTTCCACTGTAATTGTGGACCAATCTACTTTAAAAAATATAGAGTCAATTAATATTACTGTTTTAAAGGTAAAGATCCAGTTTGTATTTTAGTATAATTAATAGTATAATTTATATATTTGTAGGTGTGGAGAGGAAGTGACAAAAACGGAACAGTTTCATGACATATCTCTAGATGTGCCAAAGAGAAAGTAGGTCTATTATATTATATGTTATGTGCACACCCTTGAAGTCTGTACTTCTGGCTTCCATCTATTTTATGAAAATGGAACAAAACTCCCTAACAGTCACAATGGACAGTTCCAGATTTACGTCTGGGCGAGCTCATTACAAAAATTCAGCAGAATCAGGGTTGCAGATGGGCATAATGATTTTTCACAGTTGTGTATTTTTCTGTCCATCTATTTCCACTGAGATGGTGGTTATACTGTTTTTGACACTTTGAAAAAAAAAATTAAACCCAAATTTAAAGCTGGATGAGTCTCATAATACAGATTTTGCAGAAGATGGGTTACAGATGGGCAGAATAAATTTATTTTTAATTTCTGTCCATCTGTTCCTATTCACATTATGACCTGGGAAAGTTGTTTAATCATGAAAAGTTAATTGATGAATTCATCAGTGGCTTGAATTGGTGTGTTATTAACCTGTGGTGGCATGGCTGAGTGTTTAACATGTTGGTCTAGTAATGTAAGGATTGTTGACTGCACGGGTTCAATCCTTGTTGTTGGTTCCTGGAACGGATTAGAGAGTGTTTCAATAAGCTGATAGCTTAATACACACTGAAACTTAATTAAATTTGTATCAACTATTAACGTGTGGTAATGACTTATAAATATTTCAGAGATTTAATGACGCCCAGATCACTCCAAGATGCCTTAAGTTTATTCTTCAAAAGTGAACAGATAGAGTACACTTGTGAAAAATGTGGTCACGGGAAATCTGATGTCACTCATAAAATCACTCGTCTACCAAGGTCAGTGTGAACACATATTCTTGATGTTCTTATAACCCTTCTTTTTAAGGGTGTGTGTGATATATCTGTTCTTGTTAATCTGCAGGTGCATGTAGTAAAGAAAATTGTGTGCCATGGCAAAATGTTGACATATATTTTAGTTCACATTGCTCGTATTTTTATATGGGACCAATAATCATAGAGTAATGGCCATTAATACATTCTTGTCTAATTTATTTTATATAGAGTTTGCAGTCTTTATCATTAAAATCTAATTATATCAGTTTATGATTAGTCTGTATGTATCAATTACTGGTATCAATAATTTGTAATACAAATCAAAAGTGCAAAGCTTGTAAGATCGGGATACAGTGGTTCTTCTAAAGATTATACAAAAAGTTCTTTAAACTAGGTTTATGAAAATATTGCAATATGGAAATTATACATGTCATACGTTTTAATTTTCTCAGAACAAAATTTTTTTGTAAATTTCTGGTTGCTAGCTTTATATAAATGTTATAAATATTTTGTTGATTTTGTCCGTGGCTAAGTTGTTAAGACCACTTGCCTCAAGCCACTGTTGGTTTGAATCCAGACAGGGACTTCAGAAATTCTTCTTTGAGGAAGCTTTCCAGCTAACTTATGGAATATTGGTGGTTCTACTCATGTGCCCAGTTGTGCCTGAAAAAATACTTGGAATGAGACCTAGGGTCTTCCTTTACCAGTAAAGCTGGAAATTCGCCATGTTACCTATACTGTGTTGATATGACGTAAAACTGAAAACAAAGAAAACCTTTACTGTGTTGTTGTGACCGAAAACCAGACTGGAAAGGAGAAATCTTTGTTTTTCATAAGATTTTTAATTTTGGTGGTGTGTTACCAAATAGATTCTTTTTAACCATAAATAGCTTCTTTTGCATATTGGCAATCAGTACAGTTATGATGATCCATGCAACACTTGTGTTTATTATATTTTCAGGGTGTTTATTTTACATCTAAAGCGCTACAGTTATAATTCAGTGTTTTCAAAACATACCAAGATGGGACAGAATGTGTCTGTTTCCTATGTTCCTTACCATGCAGAATCACTGTACAGAGGAAACTCAACCTGCCTTCCCTCACACATTGATGGACATCTCTCAAAGGTTTTTAGTTTTTAGCTCAACTGTCACAAAGAAACAGGGTGAGCTTTTGTGATTGGCTTTCGTACGGCATCCGTCCGTAAACTTTTACTTTTAAATTGACATCTCCTCATAAACCACTAAGCCAATTTTCATCTAATCTTCACAGGAATGTTCCTTTGGTTTGGTCACCTTTTGAAAATTGTTCAAAGAATTTAATTTCATGCAGAACTCTGGTTGCCATGACAACCAACAGAGAAAAGCTTAAAAAATATCTTCTTTTAAAAAAAACCCAAAGAGTTAGACTTTTAGCTATTTGGCATGAAACTGTCAAAACATCTATTGTAAGTTGAATATAAGATGAAATAGATCTTTGTTATTATGTCTGAGCTGTAATTTAACCCTTATTTGAGCCGCGCCATGACAAAACCAACATAATGGGTTTGCGACCAGCATGGATCCAGACCAGCCTGCGCATCCCCTCCGTCTGATCAGGATCCAAGCTGTTTGCTTACAAATCCTATTACAAGTAGTGAAACTGATAGCGAACAGCATGATACCTGATCAGACTGCGCTGGTCTGGATCCATGCTGGTCACAAACCCATTATGTTGGTTTTGTCGTGACACAGCTCATTTGTATAGCAGTATCCTTGGTGATGAAGAAGTAATGATATACTTATATTGCAGTAATAACAAGATAAATGGAAGTGTGTTGGACGACTCAAAAGAAGAACTTCCCAGTAGAAGAAAATTGGAGTATTCAGGGTAAGCTTTGTACATAGTTTTTTTAATTGACATTTTTTTATGTGATGAAAATTGCGCAATCCTGTGTCTACATGTCTATGATTCATAACAGGTATAGTCTGTACTTTCTAAGATTAGCCACATAGATTGTGCCTAGCAAGAACAATCTTCTTTCCTTTTTTATGACCAATTTATGTAGAGGAGTGGGGGGGATATAGATTTCATTGTTTGTTATGCTATCACATAGTCCTTGCATAGACTGACAAACCAGTGGAATGTTTGAGTATCTATGCCCTATGGCCACAATTCTAGTCGATGGCTTAAAAGATGTGGAAAAAAAAACAAACAAGTAATGTCTTAAACTGAAAAAAATGAAAATGAAAATAGGTGATTTATAGCAATATATTCTTATGAAGAAAAAAAAGAACAGGCATATAAAAAAAG